AGTCGCTCTATGCTCAGTCTTTCATAAAGCTCAGACTAGTGAAGAACTTTGGCAACAGTCGCTCTATGCACTGTTTCTCCCATATCTTCTGCAGAGTGGTCTCAAGTGTTTCTTGGTGGTCTCTCACTATTGTCCTTCACGGTTTCTGTGACGACGTCCTGCTTTTGGTAGATTTACACACGTTCCATATTTCTCACATTTCTTAACGAAGGGTCTAACAGAACTCTTGAGGATGTTTTGTGTCTTGGAAATCGTTTTGTATCAGCTGATTTCTGCTTTTAATAATCTTTTCTCTGAGTTGAATGCAGTCACGTCCTTCATGACCTATTTTTATTGGTTAATATTTCTCTAGAAATTTGATCGATTTGTTTGATGTTATATTTTCTTCGTTTATGAATTCTGTGTGCTCCACGGTTTATTTGTCCCTCTGTGAATCCTAACGAGATGTTGGAGGAACGCAGATATCTGCTCGTGTTTGCTGAACTTGTCTGTTCCCTCGGATCTTCTGCTTTTATCAGCTCCGTTCAGCCTCTAATCTCAGAGATTGTGTCTGAACAATCTGCTCGTCTCTCAGCCGTTACATCAAGTCATGGCCTCGTTCAAAGGCAGCGTGTCCCCGTTCGGTCCACTCCTCCTCTGCTTTCTGCACTGGGTCCAGTCCTCCTGGATACTGGACAAGCTGTGAGTTCAGGTGCGACATGAGCGTTCCAGCTGCTCCCGGTATCACCACCCTGATAACCAGTCCTGGTCCTGTCCCTGCCAGTCCTGAATAAAAGGAGGGCCGAACAGAAACCAGTTCAGGGTTCTCCAGCCTGAGACTGTGTCCTCTGAGGAGAACCATGCCTGGCTTCAGGACATGGTTGGGTGTCTGACGTCCAACAACATGGCTGCTTCGTCTCTGCTGCTCGTCTTTCTGCTGCTGCTGGCTCCAAGGGACCAGCTGGTGGGATCAGCCAGATCAGAGAGGGCTGAAGACCTGGACTCTCACTTTAGACGCCACTGGCTGCTGCACATGAGGGAAGCCCTGCTGCGAGGTAACGGTGGAGACAGGAAGACCAGCAGCCTTCTCTTCCTGCGTACAGCTCAGAGGAACTTTATCATGTTGTTCAAGGCCTGGTGTTTGTTTAGACGTGTTCAAGGTTTTTGTGCTGCTTGCATCCAGAGCTGTGTCCAGGCTCAGGAGGGTTGGTGAAGGTCCAGTCCCCTACATGATCCTCAGGAACCTCCTGCTGACATCTTCTGATTCTGTCCACCGAAACTTTACCAACGTTTCTTTAGATCCAGGGTTCCTCTGACGCTGATAAGTTCAGGCTTGTTAAGCGGACGACCCGTGCACGGAGTTGTGTTTGGTATCAAATGTAGGTCAGCTGGTCTCTGGTTGTTGTTGTTGATGTTTTGGCTCAAAATCAAACCCAGTTTGAGGTCAGATAAGATGTTTGAGGTCCTGGAGGAATGTCTGCTAGAACCAAGATGCTCCTCAGCCCGAGGTGTCTGCTCAGTCCAGGAGCTCGCAGTAACTCTGGAGGAGCTGCAGAGATCCACGGCTCAGGTGAGCTGCGCTTCACACATCTGTTCCCAAAGCCAGAGCAGGAGTGTGACATCAGCAGTGAACGTCTCCATGAGCTGCACGAATCATCTGCAATCACCAAGGAGACCCAAAACATGGTGGGGTTGTGAGTTTTCTCATGATGAACTCATTAAAAATCTCTCGTCTCGAGTTTTCACTCAAAACTGTCTCCAACGTTTGTTCAGTTTTCATCGAGTGTTCAGGTCTGATGTTTGCACAGGAAGTCTGCGTGATGTGATGGAACCACCAGAGACTTCAGAGATGAAGGTCCGGCTCCGAACGCCACGCTGGAGATACATGATCAGAACCTGAATGTTTTGGTTCAAATGGTGGGAGTTACTCTGTGGACAAGAACTAGAGGTTCTTTCTGTGGTCTGAAGCAGCGAGAGTGGAGGGAAACATTTTACCACCAAGAGCCATGGAGGAGCCGGGGGGTGGCCAGTGGTGGCCACCACTGATTCATTTATGGCCACCCCAATCATTTGAGGAAACTTTGTCTTTAAGCAATTTAAGAACTAAAAAGCAAAGTTTCCTCAAACAACTGGTGTCGATTTACACGTCTATGGTGGTGGCCATGTTGGATTGTTGACTGGCAACCCAGTT